CGTAGCAGATGATGCTCCAGCACTGTGTCTTCTGGGACTGCTTCAACCTCGGGGATTTTTACTTACTTAGTTGCTAATTAACACAAACTGATAATCAATAGTTTAATTACTGAGAAAAAAAGAACATGTATACTGAAGTAAACACCTTTCCTTCTTCTTTTGGCTAAGTTTACTCTGCTCCTCTGCATCCTATCAGCAAGGACTGTCCATGGCCACTATCTCTCAGGGGGGTCCTACCTCAACACAAGTCACCCACCATGGCCATAGTCCCTTTGGGACTGCACCGTTGGGCATGGAACACTTCCTTCCACAACCTATCTCTCTCCAAATCTCCTCCAGCCTTATCCACATCTTAAATTTCTCCTCACGTGTCTCCTCCACACATGGCTGTGGTTCTTTAAACTTGTCTGAGTTGAAGTTCTGCAGGGTCCTGCGATGGGCTGGAGCTTTGGGGCACAACACATTGATCCCAGTGGCCCAGGAAGCACCTGTGAAGGACAGACACAGAGGTGCCCACAGGCATCTCTGCAGCCCCAGCTGCCTGTGTCTGCCTTGGGCATGACCACAGTAAACCCTGCAGTTATGCCTCATGCAAAGGGCAGCCAGGAAGGATGCTTCCCAGGGGGACAAAGGAGAGCAGTCTTTTATGTGGCAGGAAGCCTGTGCTGGGGAAACACCAGACCAGGGTAACTGAGCTTACTGTCCTAAGAAGCAGAGAGAAGGGAGCAAACCAGGCAGGGACAGTCATTTTGGCATACACAGTTTTCAGAAAACACATTAAAAATTTATTTTAAATATATTATAAAAGGAAGTCCATTCAGCTTTAAAAACACTAGGCATTCTATCCATGATTCCCAGTTTATGAAAGCTACTACATTAAAGTGCTACAAGTCCTTTACCACCCCCAGATATTAGGCTGTTTGTCCTAATATGCACAAAATAAATATACACTGATTCAAGAGGCACCATCCAGTTTTACAGATAAAACGCATGCAGTACAAGGAATAGACAAACCTATCACCGAGATCCTGGAGAATGCATTTTGAAACCAATTCCTTTCTCCACCCTAGAGGCTACAGCTATTTGTTATTGTTATCAAATGTTTTAGTCTATTAGTTCTATCAGTTTTATCTTGTTTTGTGGTCGAAGTTCACATTTGCTTGCTTAGTAATCGGGATTAGGACTTTAGAGTTGGACTAGTAGATTTGAGACCACATAGATCCAGTGGCTTTATAATGGCCTTTGGGACTGTTTGTGATTTCTGATTTGGATACTCAGAAAGTAAAATGCAGGATCTTGCATGCTGGTGAAATGCATGAGCCTTCACCATGAGGTGGAACATCCAACAGCTAACCGGGACACTCCCTGATCTAGCTTTGGTTGTTACAGCGTACCGAGAAGAAGCTGCCATCCTTTCCAAGTCTTCCTACTAGGAGTGACATCCCCCTTCCCCGAGTCATTACTGGTATTGATTTAACAAAGGAAACCCCAGAGCTTCAGAATTACTGTCGTTCACACAGATTTTGCACTTACAAGTTGGACATATTAGAAAACACACACAAACACAAACACAGCAAGAGTCAAGCTTTCTCTGACATCCTTACCTCCCAACCCCTTTCCCTCTCTTCTCTTGTCCAGCAAGGCACTAGGAAATGGTTCAAGTTTAAGCATTTGCTGTACATTTACATTTTAAAAGGCACATCTTTATTTTAATGATGCTGAATTCCCCTTTCAGTAAGGCTCACGCATTCTTCTGTTACGATGTGGAAAAGAAAGTTAATTTCCCAGGCATGTAAAAAGCCACCTTGCACACACCAGAGCCTCAAACCTATTACTCTGTCTGTAGGCCCGAGAGATTAGCACCAGTATAAATCAACAACAGCTTCAAGAACAAATCGAAGTATTATCATGCAACATAACACACATCCAGGGATCCCCTGTTGTCTGGGATCCTGATACTTAAAAGCAGCAGAATTTATGCAGCCATGGAGAGAGGGGCATTTGAATGCTTTTGGGGGGAAAGATATGAAAACATTTATTTTGCATATTCAATCTCCAGTCTTGACTTGCATGCAGATGTGAAGATTCACTTATGTGTTCATGCTTTAGCAATCTGGCTTACAAATAACCAAAAGTAATTGGAATAATTAACCAGTAAAGGCTCAATTAAAGATGTAGATGATGAAATACAGCCTCTGTTTCTCAATCAGTGGATGTCTGGTTATATTAAGTCTTCTTATTAGTCAGCAAAGCCTCTAGGGTACTGAAAAGTATAATTAATGTAAATAAATTAATAGCTCAAAGCTCAGTGAGCCAGTCTGAATTGGTGAGGCACTGATCACACTCAGATCCCAAACCATCAGAGAACAGATCAGATGAACCGTACTGAGAAGGACCCAGGAGGACCACTCTCACTGAAGCTCCTGTTTCCCTGTACTGGTGGTTGGTTTTGACAACAGGAATTGGTTCAACAATTATCTAATCTTTCAGTGCAGACTGCTAAGAGCTTTCCTTTCCCTCCAAATTAAGATCACTAAGTGGTAAAAGACCTGCTCCTTACCGCAGCTCCCTCAGAAGCAAACGCCCAGCAAGCCAAGGACTCTTCACCAGGTGAGCCCAAGTACAAAGCAAGCCATGCATTTCCCAAACAGAAGCTAATCCTCTCATTAGGAAACTAAGACACACACAACTGCAAGCTGCAAGCAGAATGACCGACAGTCCATTCCTATAATCTGCTGATTGTGTCCCACTTTTAAACTAGCCCTGTGCATGGACAGCTTCTTGTTCCACAGGTATAAAAACATTCCTAAAGACATCTAGTCAGACCATCTAGTGATCCATAGTCAGCACTACTAGACTAATGAGAGCATTAACAACTTAAGGAAAGCAACAGACACAAAGCACTGGGAGGTGGTTCTGTCTCCCACAGAAATGAAAAGGGATCCTAATGACAAACACTGTAGTTACTGAGAACATAAGACGTCAACTCTGATGCTGGCCTCACTTCCATAGCAATACTGCTGTACAACTGTCACAAGGGAAGCCTAGAGCCTTTTTTCACTCCCAAAATGTTAAATACCAATGCATTTGGCAAGCCTGGTCCCAGCTGTAATGCAGTACCCATGTTCCCCTTGCTTCATGAATGCATGTACTGGGTAAGTCAGCGTGTGGCCTCAGCTGTGAGGATGAGAGAGGTGGGAATGAATTTGAGCCTTACAGTCAACATATCAGGCTTGAGAGGCAGATAGTTGTGTCCTAGTTTGCTCCCAGTTGACAGACACAGCACTACATGGCCTCAAAGACATCTGAAACGTGGGCAATGGTCCTACAACTGGCAACATCAGAAAGGGCTCCCTTCTTCTGGAGCTCTGCAGAGGGAGACAGCCTGCTTGTTTCTTGACACTAGGCAGGAATCTCTTTGCCTTCACATGAGAAAGACACCTCTTCTGGGATGAGGTTATTCTGGTTCAGTATCTGGCACATCCTGCAGCCAAACCAGAAGGGTAACACCTTGCACAGCTAACTGGAGGTTAGGGTACCAGTGAAACAGGCCCATCAATCCCACATCTCTGCTTAAACAAACAGATTTCCAGTCACAGGAAACTCTACGGTGCTGCAGATGCTGGGAAAAGAGGAGGGATAAATAGCACAAGCCTAGAACACTAGTGACCACAGGACTCACCACTGTGACAAGCACACTGATGAACAAATGGATAAAGACCAACAGCTGATTTCAGCCCTGACTTAATTATCCTGAACTAATCTGCTCACACCAACTGTGAATTAAGTTAGCTTTCAAACCTCTAAAGGAAAAATGGAAGTTGCCTTCATGTAATCAATTAAACTCTGAAAAACTCCAGAGGTGCCCATGCCAGAAAGATTCTGAGTAAGAGGCAAATTTGGAACCCGATACTCAAAGGCTCTTAGCAAGAATCTTCACCTGTAAGAACTGTGCTTACTTCATACCCCCCTGCTCATCTTTCACCTTGAAGATCCAACAGTGAGTGACAAACTGACTGCAAAGCAAATGGACCAGAAAGGCAGATTTCTCATCACTAATAACTACAGCGCTGTTCCCAAAACACTAGAGCTCATTCCTTTATCAGAGCTGTGATTTGGAAAGTGATAATACTCAACTGATTGAAATATATTTTGGTTTAGGGCAAGAAAAAAAAATCATTTAATATTTTGATGGCTTTTTTTTTGATGGGAGGATTAAATCTTCAAGATTTTACTTTTGGAAGATAAAGCACCTCTGTGGGAATGCTTCAGCAGGTGGTATAGAATCATAGAACCAACCAGGTTGAAAAAGACCTTTAAGATCATCAACTACAACCATTAACTCAGGACTGCCAAGGCCACCACTAAACCATGTCACTTAGGGCAAACTGATCTCCCCTCAAGATCTCCCCTGATGGCTGCCCCTCATGATCTCCACAAGCAGCCACCCCTCATATACCCCCCATAGTGGCCCACACTGTATAGCTGCTGCCCCTACCCCCATGGATGCCCCTCACACCCCATGGCTGTCCCTGCTCTCCCCTCATGACTGCCCCTAACCCCTAATAGCCACCCCTCACACCCCATGGCTGCCCTTGCTCTCTCCTCACAATCCCTCCTTATGGCCACCCCTTCCTTCCCCTCACAATCTTCCCTCACGGCCACCTTTTTAGCAGTTATAGAAAGCCCTGGATAACAAAATCCTTTAACGCCAGACCCAGGCAGGAAATAAAGCAAACAAAAAGCAGCCTGAATCGCATTCAGACTCCTCTAAAATCAGAGTTTCAGTTCAGTCTCAGCACAGAAGTGGCTCTCGCAAAGCCTTTAACATTCCACCATCCCCAGAAAAGAAGGATGCAGCATCTTCACAATAAAGCCTGGCCTGCTAGTTAACCTTCTCCTGAGAGTCTCCCTTTTACCTTCATTCACTGTTTAAAAAAAAGTACTCTTAAAAAAAGTTTTTGTAACCCTCCCCAGTAAAAACTAGAATTGTAAAATATATATATATGGATGTATTTCCTCAGTCTCTTAAAGATCAAGATTTCTGTTAAATTTTTCCAAGATGGTTGAGTTTGTATGTTCAAATATCCACTGCTGCGTTGGAGATGAGGGATTGCAGCTATTCATAAAGATCTTTCGGTCACTCTCACTGCAGTCCATACAGCTGCTGCTTACTGGATGGTAGAGGGTCTTGTCCTGGGAAAGAGAAATGTGATGTGAGGTTGCTGAGCAGAGAAGCAAAGCTGACTTAAAATCAACACAAGAAAACCAAGGTATTTTGTCACTTAGATGTACCTGAACAAGTTGTTCCACACTGAATTAGTTAGCAACTGTCAAAGTGCAGTCCCACCCCTTGCAACAGCATCCAGCCCATCTCACACCTCCACTGGGATGGTCTAAAGCTGTCTGAAACTAGGTTCTCCAGCCTACAGTGCAGTGGCTGCTGCAGTTGCTCCTGACACTATGCATATAAATTACTAGGACAAAGCATGTAGTCAAGGACTTCTTTACCTGTTGCCCACAAAAGCGCTTCTTAATAGGGGGATGAATTATCTACTTTTGGTATGACCTTTAATGTTGAGAATAACCCAATAAACACAGCACACCTCTTGGCAAACAGGTTTTGCAAGGGTATTGCATCACCTCATTGCCAGCTGTGGGCAGGACTGCAAGGAGAGTATCCTTCTGCTTAGCAAGCCCTGGAGAAGCAGTCCTCACCATTTCTAACCAGTGGAACAGGGGAGTCACCTCTTTCTAAGCAAGGATAATTAAGGGCACAAAGACAACAGGTTGTCTCTTACTGCAGCTGCATGAAGGGAAGGAATAGAACAGGAATGGTGATATTTTAAGGAAAATTGCCTGTAGGCACTGAAGATGACACTTTAAATGAGAACACACTCACTTTTCGGTATCTCCAGAGCTGGTTCCCCTTCATTCCATGACAATCATAGAGGGTCACAGGGCTGCTGTGGGAAATGGCATCAAAGCAGAACTTCTTGGTGTGCTGAGGATCCCCAGGACGGATGTCTTCCCTCCAGCTGAAGGTGAATACCTGCTGGGACAAACAGGACCCTCAGGGTGGCTGGTGCTGGGCATAGTGCTTTCACCTGCAGAATGACAGTATCTGAGAGAGAAAAAACACTTCCACCTCTGGGGACAGGGAGTGCTGACTAGGAGAGGCTAAGAGCTACCTCGTGGACTGCCACACAGCATGCTAAATGAGACTGTGCTGCTGCAAACAGCCATGCTAGTTAGCTTGGGTACTAATAGCAGCCCTGAATGTCTCTGCAATGCAGACATACATCATGGATTAAGTGAGCAGCTGACCAATTACAGCCTTTCACAGTGAGCAAAAAAGGCAGAGAGCTACAAGAGCTCAGAGTTAACAGTGGCAGTAAACACCTACGTCTGCACAGACAGCCTGCAGTCACCTTGAGAAGAGTCTGTCCGACGTCTTCTGGGACAAGAAACCAGGAGCCCACAGCTCCCCAGCCCACCCCAGAAGGGCAAACATTAGGGCAGTGCTTCCTGGTGCTCTCTTCCACTGGCCCTGCAATGATCTTTTTCAGGTGAAATTAAAGCAGGGATACTACAGAAGAGAAAGGTTTTTAGCTCTAGTAATAAGGCATAACCCATGCTTGGCAGTGCTATGGCCTTGATGAAAACTGCCAGATGTCAGCACACGTGGCTTGGAAATCCCTGAACCATGGGGTTGAACCACAGGCAAAGAGGTGGTGAAGCACTACCACACAACATGGCTCTGCTCCTTGCCCTCCCCCTGTGACATTAGCTTTTGGCCATGGTTTGACACAGCAGAGTGGTTTAACTGAACCCTCAGTCTGACAAGCGTGGCTTGGCTGAAGACATGTTTTAAGCATCACAGGACTAAATTCCACAACTTGTTTAAAGGCAGGCACTGGTGTCAACCTTTTGCTTCATGCCTTGACAAGAACAGCATCTCTGGCAAGGGTGCAAGTGCCCTCTTGTGACCAGCACCAGCCAACGTGGTTCTAGCCAGCACGCCTCCCTATCAGTGCCTGAGGGGAAGGGCTATTCTGTGGGCTCCTTTTGGAGCAATGTGGAAGAATGGTCCTCTCTTCAGAGATATCTCATAGGGCAGTAGGACAGACCTCTAATGAATAGGGTGCTCCTACTTGAAGCAGCAAGGGCAAGAACTTTTGCCACAGTTCTTGTTCCCATTTCTCTTTTAAACCTCTTGCAAAAGAAATTACCACAACCGTTTAGGCTCCATGCTACGCAGAAGTTCAATCACATTATGCTCCTAAACACTAATTGTTCAAGATCCTCCTCACGGAACAGAGGCTTAGTTTTGGACTGCCTGAGTAAATTGTTTTCGTTTCAAGAGTTCATGCATCAGAACTGATATGCAACAACCCTTTGTCTCCTACCACTGAGGCCATTCCCCTGAAGAGTTATGCACGGCTCTGTAATAGAGGCATTGTTTTCTTGAGCTTTTCTCAGCTCAGATACCACAGTTTAGACAAACTAATATTTCCCTCCCTTTTCTTACAATAAAGCTGTCGTTTCTGGCACCTTATATGTTGAGAGGGTGAATCTATAGCCTGGCCGGTTTCATATCTCTCCAGCAATGGTTGGGCGTTTATAATGCATTTGCCTCCTGTCAGAAGGATGATAGTAAGCAGTTACTGAATGCTCCTGCAGGTTCATTAATATGCATGATGCTCCTCCATCACTTCTCCCAGCACAACCTTTGAAGTTAATATTCACTTTGTTACATATTACAGCTGCCTTGTTACTGGTTTATTATTTTGGCATATTGTTTTCTTGTGCTCCCTTTTGTTCGCTCCCAGAACCTCAAAGTGGAGGTGAAAGCGCTGCACAAAGCCTACCAGGCTCCAGACCCTGCCACAAGCACAAACCACATCCTGCTACAAGCCCACCAAGTATAATTAGCACATGAGCCTTGGGGTGTACAACACCCTCCCTTCACCTGACAGTGTTCTGCAATGACGTTTCTTCTCAAACATTCATCATTTGTTCTTATAACTTCTCCCTCCCCAAATTTATTTAGGGGCTGATGATTTATCAAAGGGACCATTACCTGCACGTTGTTCCATGCTGCCTCTCCTCTGTCCTTCACACAGTTTTCTAGCCTCAGTGGGGATCCCAGGGCTCCATGCTTAGTATCCACACACAGTCCAGTTCCTACATTGCGTATCTGAAATGGTAAGTTGGGCATTGAATCTCCTTCCCTTACCAAGTGATAGGAAAGAAGGCTTAAATTGCTTTAAATAGTGGCAGTATTTGTATGAAGACAGCTTTAAGATTCCTCACTTCACCATGTATCTGAGCTGGCAGATGACAGCTAGAAGAAAGCACAGCAATTCAAAAAATGGAGGTACAGAAACCTCCAGGACACAGCAAAACCCATTAACTACAGGACTGCAGAGCCCACTGTGGTGTTGTGTGTAATAATCTACGACTTCACTCCTGGGGCAATTCTTTTCCCAGAACACAGCAGACTTCCAAGAACAGGGATGTTTTTCCTGGCTTTCAGATGGGAAAGCTAAGGAGCAGAGCAGCTTAACACAGTTGTGTAGCCTTTGGAAATAGTACTGCTCAGCTGCTGCCTCTCTCTAGCCCTCCCTGTTGGCATGTTCTGCCTTCTACAAAGCACACAACATGCAGAACAAGCCAAATCTCTATTCTCTCTGTAGCTGTGCACTGATAGAAACGGCTGCCTAACTGCCTTCTTTGATCAAGACCAGCGTAACGGTAGGGGAGTTCTGGTCTTTGAAACACATCAAGCAGGATCTTTGAACACTCACTTGCCACCTCACAGCAAACTGCTTACTGGAGCCCAGGGGTACAACAACCTTAAACCAACCTGCAGCCTGCTTGCCCACTGCAGGCTGCACAGCACAGACTTGCCTCTCCCCAGGCGGCTGCTGGAGGCTCCACTGGCGGGTAGAACTTTGGCAAGTCCCACGCGACCTCGTTCATGAACCACTTGAAGCTTTTGCAGTTGAGGTTGTTGCGGAGCTCCTTCTGAGCCGCCACGTCCCCTGCAGAGAGGTGCCGGTACTCCGGTCTGCGCTGGTAGATGTACTCTGCGTACTCGTCCATCCACACCTCTGCCACCCGCTTCAAGTTCTGTGTGGGTAAGAGCCACGTGTGAAAAACCAGAGGGAAAAGCACCTGAGAATGCTCTGCACAAGCTACTGACATTAGCATTCAGAACAGCTCTGCTGCTTGCGCTCGGAAAGGATTTTCATGCACATCCACTCTTTCTGCCCAGCTTCAGGATGAAGATTATTTTTATTATTCTCTAGTTCCAAGGGACTTTTTGAAACATTTGGAGTTGAGGTGAAACCAGAATCCTGGCACTTGGCCATTATACCTAGTGCCTTGTGGCTAAGAAAAACAACATTAATCAAAGGCTTTTCTTTTTCTTCCCTTTTTTTCTTTCTGTGAAGAAGCTACTCACAAAATGACGCTGGTTAAATACCGCTGGACATTCAAAGGTCCCTGACAGAAAGCTGCTTTCTTAAATCCTTTTTATTGCATCTTCTAACCCATCTAGGAATGGGATTTGCTGTACTCCCTTCTGGAAAGCTTCAGTTCTCAATACTCTTTCTTACCACTATTTTTCAGTTTTCTTGAGTAAAAAGCTGTTTAAGAGAAACCCTGAGATACCACAGCAGTACAGAGCTTTCAGGTGATGACCCTTCAGAACAGAAGCAAAGGGCTTTACCTCGTAGCAGCAGTGTATTTCACGTATCGCTGTAAAACTTAACCCACTGTGCAATTCCAACCCAGCGGCAAACACCACCCTGTGGAGATACCCACCCTACTGCTCGTCACAACACACTCAAGAGATTGTTGGACCTTGGTCTGTTCTCTGGCAACAACAGGCACATAGTTGGTCACCACTGTTGGTGACCCAGCAGCACTGCCCACCTTGCATGAATACAGTCAGTCCAGCAATGGCCATTTACTACCAAAAACTGAGGACATTGAGAATGAGCAGGTGCTGACCCTGCCCCAAACGCAGCCTACATACAACTTAAGGTGACTCTATGATCTTAGATGCCAAGAGACAGCCTCTCCTACACCCATCTGCCATCCCCTTCCAGCACTGTGAGTATGCAAGAGCCGAATACTGAATCAAAAGAAATATAGCTCCTTCCTGAAGGGATGGCACAGAGAGGAGAGCACTCTATCGCTCTGACAGGTCATTGCTGGGCTGAGTAATATATCCATAACTAGGGTGATACCATTAAACAGGGAAGCATTTTAACACTGTGCAAGCCACAAGCCTGCGGAACAGCAGGGCACATCTTGCGGTTTTTACTCATGCAGCCTTTCTGCTCCTATGATTTTTTGCTCCCACCAGAGGGCAATGCAATCCCTTCCTAATTTGGAAATTAACGGGAGAGATCTAACGCAGGTAGGCAACAGCTCTGTCCTCTTTGGACTACACTAGAGTAAGAAATAGGACAGCACAAAACATTCTATTGTGGAAAATTACAGCTTGCCCATTCAGTGGTCTGTGATGCTTGAAGCTGAGAGGTCTTTCAAGCTCCAAAACACAATCACCACACTGAAGCCTGCTGCTCTGGGGGAGCACAGCTATAAAATGACTGAAGTATTATGCAGATAAAGCCGTATCTCGTTTGTATTGGTAATTCCATAGCCAGTGCCTGATTGCAAAAGTCCATTCCCAACACCCAGCAATGGCTGATGTCTAGAGCATAGAGCTGCCTGCACATGAGTCTGCAGCTCCTTGGCACTCTTCCTTTTGTGATACACATCCTCCACTGCAATACTGCTCAATTTGACCACCATACAAACACAATTTATAGACTATAAAGTCTACATTTGCCTCCCATTGTGGGGTGAGAGCAGACAACAGCACGGTCGATTGCAGTCAGACATCTGTCACGGGTAATGCCATTGCCACTTACTCTGGCCAGGCTGACTCCTGTTGGAACCTTGTATGGAACATATTTTCTGTAGATATGACCAACTCTAGAGCAAGGGATGTCCTCCATGCGACCTCCACACATCCATACCTGTGGAACAGCAGAGATACAGTTTCAGTCTTGATTATATGGAGAAAAATGAAGAACAAAAAGAGACTTTCAAGTCACGAAAAAGCTTAACCCAGACTTTTTACTTTAAAGTACACCCTCTCCCAAAGAACCTCCCCTTCTTGCTTTAGTCTCAAATCCTATAACTATCTGCTTAGAGCCATGCAGCAAGCCTTGATTTAGCACAAGTGCTATCAAGCCCAATAGTCAAACAGTCCAATTTTGCATTCTTTAGTGAAAGGAACAAAAACAAAAAACCACCCAGAAAATAGCACACAGCACACTTTAAATTGATATATGTTATTACAGCAATAGTAACCACTGTAGTTAAACTGGACTGCCATACAAGACCTGGGTGCAGGCTGTGTAAAAGGGTGGCCATCTCTATAGTACTGGTCCTATGTTATGCAAGACACTCCAGGGAATTCAGAAGCCTGTTCAAGTGCCAGAAAGCAGAAGAAACATTTTCCTGTGGTTATCACTGCTTTCAGGTGGTTTCAATGCTGACATGCACTCACTGCTTTGCAGCCTTACAATTAAGTGGAAATCACTGCCTGGTGAAAACGCAATTAGCTTTAAGAAAGCCCTCAGAAAGTCACTGCAGCACACTGCTAGTTAAGAAAGACTACCCTGATACTTGGTTAATGTCTAGATTTGGGCCCAGAAATTTCTTTTCCCGTCTGGGAAAATTTAATTCTTTGCCATCACACTGCAACAACCTTCTTTTATTCCTTATTTATGTCATGGATGTAATAGTTTTGTCCAAATGAAACCAAAGGAGATGTTTCATGAATCAGCCAATCTACTTCATTAGATCTAAGAATTACATTCATACACACTTCCCAGAGATATCTAATGAATACTTAGAAGGTATCCTTCAGTATGCAAAACAACTGACTTACTGAATTCTTGAAGCATGACACTGTCTTGCCCTTCAATTTGTCCCCAGATCTTATGTTAATGCCCCGAAAGCAGGACTATTTAAGGAGGTCTGCTGGTGCTGCAGGCTTGATGCAGCGTTCCCGATCCCTCCATTCACTGTGGCTAATTTGAGCCACCGCAGTTCATTGTACAATGAGCTTAGTCAACAGCTTCACACATAGCAGGCAATTCCATTAATATTCGACAGTGACAATATTAAATACTTAGCTCAGAAGAGAAATATTTGGCCAAGGCTGCTGCATAATTATTTGCTCTGACACTAAAGTCCTCTGGAGTTTCAGCTCTGTCTACTGGCCCTAATAATTATAGTCATTTGCTGACTGCGTATAACTTAATGGAGGTTGGTTGCTCTCAGTTAGGGGGATATTTTTCACAGGCAACTTCTAAAGTTCAAGGTACTTAATTACAAACAGTTATAGTGAGAGAGACAAGAAGGAAGTTGACAAACACTCCTTCTACAGAATTTCATTCCTTTTGTCCCTGCTGTGTCTCGAAAAGCTGGTACAGAAGAGATGAAGACAAAAAAAGAAACTAGCACCCGGCGGTTCTGAAGTTTCCAGTGGAATTAGAAATGCTGCTTATGCTGTGCTTTTTGCTGCAGAGGGCCACAGTGTGATTTCTCTGCTAGGGAATTAACAGATAGACCGAGAAAAGAAGAGTTTGGGGATGTTTCCTGTGACAGAAATGGTTGGCACAAGAGCTGCAGCAGATCTGGGAGCTATAAAAGACTGCAGGAATAGCTGAAGGACCCTAGAGCTCAGCTGCACAGACACACACACCCAACAACCTGTATTCTGAGCCTGTGCACTGCACCCTGCATCAAGAAAGCCCTATCTGTGCACATGCAGCTGCATTTTAGTGCAACAGAAGGGTATGCAAACAGCAGCGTGTGATCCTTGCTGCCTCACCTGCCCCTGATCTCTAAGGAAAGGCTTTCAGCGGGCCACATTGAATACACATTTCTGAAAACACGACTTCCCTCCTGTGAGAAACAGGCCCCTGCAGTCAGTGTGCAGCTAGAGAGAACACTGTCCTTGCACTGCAGATCTTGTGAAGCAACACTACAGGCAGCACTTACCAGCTGAGCAGTACACTGGAGAGGCACTGGCTATGGGAAGCTAGATACAACTGACCTTATGCTGGGCCAGGAGCTCCAAGCAGGTACAAGAGTCCAGGCACAGAAGACAACATTACATGAACAAATGCAAAGATATGATAAGAAAAACTTCTTAACCGAGTTACTGAACAAGTACAATCCAAGACCAGTTTTACACACTCCTTTTCTAATCTTGCTTTAAAATATTTACTCCCAAATGATGCTGTGATTACCAGTGCTGCATGGAGGCAACAGGAAGCTTCCTAATTCCCCCTAGCGGAGCTCAGTGACCCTTTCAAGGTATTTTGCCAACTCAGTGCCTTTTTACCATTGTCTCATGCTGCAAGTGACAGTCTAGCACTTGCAGTACAAATCTAATTTTAAATGCATGCTTTCCATTCATTCATTGCTGCTTTGATTTATTTTATTAGTGAGCTTCTTTGTGTGGTGACAGAACTCATTACAACCTCCATAAAGACAATTACCAGTCCTTATCTATAAAACTGGAAGAAGGGGGGAGAGGGAAAGAGCGTGACATGCATTGGTAAAACAGAGCTAACAAGAGCATTAGAAAGTTAAAGGTCAGGTGAATCACATCCAGAGGTCTGTCAAAGAGTAACTGCTGGTGAAGCAAACCCAAAATAGCTGAGTGGATGCTTCCACTCAGTGATATTTGGTTGATTTCAAACAAGGGTGCAGCTCACACCAGAACTTACACTGCTAAAAACACAGCTTTGTCAAACAGCTGAAACAACACTGGCCTGTGGGGCAGCACCTTGTGCCTTCGTGGTAACACTGACTGACACGTACTGTGCTCTCCTTAGGCCAAGGGAGCCAGTTTTGTGTTGCTTTACAGCAGGGTGAGATGGTGCCTCATCTCCCCAGCTGACACACTGCAAACATCAGAGCCTGAACTTCACACCGTTAATTTCAATCAGCCCTTTACTAGAAGGCCGTAAGAACAGGAATTAAAGCTGGTCAGGCAGACAGTGCTTTATACAATGATCTAATCAGATCTCATTAAGAGAGAACAGGAAACTTCCCTTCCTCCTCAAGCACCAATTCTACCAATCTACATGTCGAGCTAGGAATCTCAGAGCTGACAGATCTGCTAGAATTAAGGGAAAGCCTGCCTACACTGACGTCAATGTGCACACTGCAACAGGTTTTTCTTAGGGCACAATCTCAGCCTAATAAAATAAACATATAAGGGAAGTAAAATAACAATAGCAGTGATATTACTCCCATCTTCTTAGTGTCCTGGAGAGCAACTCCATATTCATAAAACAACTCAAGAGCCTTTGGCTCAACTAGCATGCTATGAAAGCACAAGATAATATGCCACCTATTCTCTACATGGGAATGTTACGCTGATCCAGTTCCCTTCCTGCTATGTCAGAAAACAATATCATGTAAGACAGCTGAACCTCTCCTCTCAAGCACCCAATACAATACTGCAGTTGGTGTGTGAACGCAATTATCTGGGTATACAAGGTTTATGGTTTCCGTGATGAGGTAATGCTTCCCAAGAGAGGGAAAACATACAAAGTCATACAAGTCAAGCCTTGAAAAGAAAGCTGCTTCTGCAAGCCACAACAGAAATAAAGACCACGGGATGGAGCAATGGAGAGAAACTGGCTTGTCGGAACACATACTGGAAGGTGGGAAGAAAAGGGCACAGCGGATAAGTCAAGGGGGTTCTCTGCATAACAAGGTAGATGACAGGATGAAAGCAAGGGCAACCAATAATGCAGGAAGATCATAATCCTCAGCACTGTAAGCATCAGCTATTCTTGCAGCTGGGACTTTCTGCTCTATAAGAGATTAAGGCAGCTCCAAAGGCACTGGGATCTATGTGTTTGCACAATGCCTGCTCTCACACAATGTACACCAGCATGGCCCCTCCTCACCGTCTGGAGTATCTGAGAGTAATGATAGCAGTTTCCAGTAATCACCTTCCAGGGAGTGGAGGGGTCCGCTTTCCTGCTGCTGCTTGGCAGAAGGCTACTCTGGAGCCTGAACCAAGCACACGGTGTGAACAGAGGCCAAAAACTCAAGTCAACAGTCTGAAACTGATAGCTGCATCACCAGTTAGGGAGGGAGAAGGAAGACACCCCGTACTACAGCCGAGAGCCTTAGAAATGAGCAGCATGTGCTGGCTTAAAACAACCACAAAAAAAGCAGCAGGATGCCCGGCCTGTTTCAGTTTGGACAAACGTGAGCTGCTGGAAAGTGGTGTAAGGATGTGCCTGGAATAAGCATTGGAAGCTCACAATCAGCACTAACTTAATATACAACTAGAAACGCTGTCAGAAGTGATCCCTTGGCACCCGCACCCTGACCACATACCTACCAGCGGCAAAACATGCATCAGAAATGTGCTGCTGGCATGGGGCAAAGAAGATGCATATGCGAACAGAAGCTACAGAGCACTTGGATCTTTTGGAAAACAAGTGACATGTTTTATACAAACCATGCTGGTGCTTTGGGAAAAGGATCTGGAAAAAATGCAATGATCTACAATCACCAGAGTAAGTGCAGTGGATATTTACTATTGCTGAAGCACAGAGTGATGCCCAGGAATATTGTCCATCTCTTATGCCTTCCCCTTATCTGCTCTTCTCAGGCCAACTGTCAATACAGCTTGTTTGCACCAAGCCCTCCGCATTTTATGAAGGCTTTACAATCTCTAGATTACAAGACAAACATTTCTCAAACTGAAATGATCGATCGCCCAGCGAGGGATGTCCAGACTCTCATTCTCTGTTCCTGAAGTACAATGTACAAATAAAGGACTCAGAACCACTCATGATCTGAGGTACAAAGTATCTATATTTATGCCTGTACAAGTCAGAAACATCACTTTTTCCTCTTCTGTTTCCCCATACCCCAAAAAATCCATATTTAAGGAAGAGAGGCATAAAGCAGTTTAGTGAAGATTGAGTAAGCCAAACAGAATAGAAGCTACAAAAATACTGGAAGAGAGGCAACATGATCACAAGTAAAACAGCGTAGATAAGTGCTGTACAGGGTAGCATTTGCAGTAAGGAAGAGTTTAACTGCTTCATAGATACCGCTCCAAATCAAAAGCAATAATCTCAAAGAAAATGAAGTGGTTATGAAGGCAGCAGAATGTAGGATTATGCAGGAACATCGAGAAAAATCAGAGCTATTAAGCTGTGTTTAGAAGAGGAAAGACACATTGTCACTTGGGGCATTCAGTTTTGCTCACATCATTGCAGAAAGATACAAAAAGACCAGGAAAAACTGTAAGAGAGCAGAGGTATGGGAGTGACTCCCAAAAGCAAAAATACCCCTCAACAGAGTCCACCGAACAGAGAAACTACAGCTGTAGGGCGAGGAGCAGTGGAGAGGAAAGGTACCAAGTGCCACACAGAAATAGCTGTACACACTTGTTTACCCTTTCTCCAAAATACAAGCATGTATTCAAAGGTCAGCATCTGGCAATCCACTGAGATGGATGGTGCTTACAGCACTGATATGAATGGTGCTTACAGCAGGCAGCTCTGCAGACCCGTTTGCCTGGAGCATCCCACAAGCAGGGTTCAGGGAAAAATGAGGCTCCTTTGAACAAGGGCAATGCCTGCAACTAAAATGCAAGACTGAAATCTTCCTGTTGCATCTGGTGATGACCTGAGGCAGGAAACCCCCTGACTTGTAGAAGTAGTTGGTTATGGGCACTGAGCTATTTTGGATATACACAAGTCAAGAGGAGGAAGCAGCACATGCTTTCTTCTTAAATATGGAATGGATGCATTGATTCAATTTCTAATTTAGAAATTGCTGTTTTAAGGGATTGAGAAGACCCAGAAAACTACAAACCAGCAGTTATGGTTGGAAGGCTTGTTTCTAATTTAAAGTTAGCCTACATTTTTTGGTCCCTCCAGCATGCTACGTTTTCTAGTGATGTCTGGGGTATGCATTTCATACAAGGAACAAGGCTTCTATCAATAGTTTGATGCATCCTCCAGCTAAATATATTAGCTGAGGTGCTAAACACTGATGGTTTCTTTGTCAGCTTGCCTTCAGATGGAAAGTTTCTTCTGAGAAGGAAGCAGAGCCAGGCGATGACAGGAATACGTATGATCTCAAAACAGAAAGGCAAGAGGCTCCTAAATAAACTTCTTTATTTCCAGTCTCTCAGCAACAGAGCCCCAGGTTTTAAAATAAAGGCAGAAAACCTGTAAAGAACAGGTTTCTCCGTACATGGCCAAAAAGAATATGCTTAAGGAAAACAATCCCTACTCGTGGTGAGGCTTGAGATGGCTGCATCTGATGCAATGGATCAAAAACCAGCAGTACAAAAGAATACCTGCACCCACAACTCCCAAGCCAGGAATGGGTTCTTTGTTAAAGGTCTGCTGTCAGTCTGGCACCCTTAGAATCTGAATTCCCATTAGATAATAAATAATGTGAAAGCAGGTACCCCACATCTAAAGCCAGAGCTCTACATTATTTGACAGTGCCTCCAAGTACAAAATCTCAGTCTGCTTCTAAAGGTAAAAACGTGGCTCTGAGCTCACCAGGAAATGTCATAGCTTCATAAATTCTGCGAACAAACCTTCTATTCTTGCAGTTCCAGCAGAATTATTACATCTATCAGCCACAGATGAATGTATCAATTTATCTTAATTTCCGAAAATACACTGAGCTTCTTTCAGTTAAAACTTCATTTTTTCCTTATTGCACAATGAAAGAAAAAGGGGGTCTTTGCAGAGATTAATTAAAGCCAATTTATCCCTCCATAAATTACCATCTCTGGACTGAAATAAACCACTGTGTTTCAGAGAGGATAAGCAAACAGATGAATGAAGTAGTCTTATTTCCTGCAGATCGAACAGTGTGACTGCCTGCTATGGCATTAGAGACAAAGGGCTTCCCCAGCCACTGTCATCACCCTTAGAAACCAGCATTTCCTAAAAGGGCCAAGGGAAAGAGGCTGAATATTGCCATTGCCTCCCCTGCAGAGAATGACAGTGTTACACAATTTCATCACATGCAATACAAAGAACTGGCTCTAACTGCAACGACACCTCCAAATAGGGTGCCCTCAGTCCTCTCTTCCTGCTGCCACTACAGAGAAGGGACCTCTGATGTGACTTTATTACTTTGGGTTTGCTTGTGAGCAAACAATGGCAGAGAAGATTTTGTCTTCAAAAGAGTGTCTCTTTTCCCCTATCATTTGCTGTACAGTAAGCAGCACACAGTGGGTATACATGGTAACATGGCTGGCTGAATATAGCTGGATATGCCTCTGAATTGCACGGAGGCATTGGGATTTAGCAATCTGTTTTGTAAGAGATCAGCCATGACTTGTTTGTCAGGGGAGATATGAGGAATTTTAGCTGCTGAAGCTAAACTGTGCCCTATCTGCTACCATCTTCTGGCCCCATGCAGAGGTCAACTAGCTTAGGTCAGTAGCATCCAGACACCTGTAAGGTTATATATTTAACCTGTGAAAGAGAAACCACATAGCAGACCAAACAGTTTAATGCAGAAGTCTTTACTCAGCTTCCTCTAGACTATGGAAAGGATTCTCATCAGTAAAGAGAAAACTAGCCATCTGCCTTCAGTGGTCTGGGACATCCCAGTGAGTTTCCTAGAATGGATTTCAGAGTGCCACATTCCAAGGTAACACAGGTACCAGAGGTCTTCATGGGTCACAGTGACTCATTACTATTGGTATGCAGTTTTGGCTGTCTAACTCTTTTTTTAAAGCCCTCAACTGAACAGCTTGGTCAATCAGTAAGTGACAGAACTGTCCCTAAGCCAGGCAGTTAATGATCTGAAGTCATTGCCAGCAACAGTGTTGTTATTCCAATTGTTGAGTATTTCTTACAGGGTAATTAATAGTCTCAGTTCTTTGCAGCCAGGAGTCAGATGGACTGACTATAGACAGTACATTATTCTCATCTCTGGGAACTCAGGCTTAGGACTGAGGTACACGGTTGGACAAACACTGAGCTGCCAGAATCCTCCTCCCCTCAAGAAGGAGGGTATTTATCATCTTGCCTGGGTGAGTAGTAAGAAGCCTAAAGCCAGAGAGCTTCACACAAGCTGATTTACCCTTGCTGTGAGGAGTGCGTGCATCTGAAGCTCTGACCACAGAACAGGGGACACCCCGCTAATCATGCTCCAAAATTGACCCTCACAAATGACTGCTCACATCATTGCCGTTTCTTCTGTGTACTATCTTACTACTCCCAGCTCTTTCACCACGCAAAAGCAAGGACAAAATAGATCATTCACATTCTGCGCCTCAGAACAATTTTTACTTTTCAAAACAGATGTAATTTCCAGAGAACATAGCTCACCTTAAAGGATATTTCATATTGCTCTCCTCCCCATATCTCCAGACCTGCATCATACCCTCCCAGCTCCCAGAACCACTTTCTATCGACTGCAAACAGTCCTCCAGCCATTACAGGAGACCTTAAGGAAAAACCAGACTCCATATTACAACACATTCAAAGATACAGATCTCTGGCTAAACATTTAAAAAACAAAGCAAGATTTGACAAATATTCTTTTCACCACCCAGTGTTCCGGTGCCTTTGCAGCCCTATCAGAGCATCAAACAGTTGGTTTTGCATTATCTACCACTTCCCACTTGCAGGTGAGGAGGACCGGACCAGGCTCCCTCCAGAACCAGTCAATGCCTCTCCTCCAACAGTCAAGAGTTCACCATTAAGTGACAGGATATAAGCTCTCCCATTGGGGCCCATATGGTGTACATGGGATACTCTGTCTCAGCAGCACGAGCAAGTCATTGAGCTTGACCTCAAAAAGTGTTGCTGGGGTTTTTTTTGAGCACTGCATAACTATAAGGGACAGCAGAACTGTCTCAATGTTGGCAAGCACAGCAACAGCAGAACATAACTTGAGCACAGATTTACTTCTGCAATGCACTGCAATCATCAAAATTGCTGTAATTATACTGCTAGTTTTTCTTCTTCCCCCACCTGGGAATGACATATAAGCTGCCATTGGTTTGTTGTTTTTGGCAGAGCATTAGGGATGCTAAGTTATGTTTGAAAGATTTCAGTAATAAATGACCACATTAAACGCTACACATTACAGTTTTAAATGAAATGTTAACTTCTGTGGGAATTAAGGTGGCAAAAAACAGCAGTGAAAAGGACAGTGTTCACAGCTACTACACAATGCATTTCTTTTGGACCAACTAAAGAAACAGCTGCCAAAAAGCAAGTAGCTTAACACCAGCTTCTGACTTTTACTACACTGAAGTGTAACCCAACCCTGTAACAGGGTGTTCTTTTGTTAGCCAGCTCTTAGCACACTTCATTTCAGTAACTTACTCAAAGGGATCACTGGGATCAAGTTTCTGTAACTCAGGAGGAATAGGGATCCTCTTGTAATACATCTCCCAGTCAAATGCACCTCGCATTGCGTCTCCAGCCTGAGTCTCATATCCAAAGTGGTCATGATCAATAACATCAATCATTGGGCAAACGATAGTCTTGCGGTTTCGGGCAATGCGATCTGAAGATTGGAGAAACATGTTAGAAAACCTGCACCAGCTGGTTCCTTTGACCATGAAATTACAGAAGAGAGCATCAAAACACAAAGTTGTCCAAGAATGACATCGCTCCTGTTCTTGCCATTCATTCTTTTAGGAAGATGCTCCAATTTATATCAATTCATCTGGTATTTCTGCACTGAAGCATTCAAGCTTGAACTATTGAGATAAAAACACTAGGTACCCATGCTACAGTGGCCATTACTGTGAGAGTGGTGAGGCAGTGGAACAGGCTGCCCAGGGAAGCAGTGAATGCTCCATCCCTGGCAGTGTAAAAGGCCAGGCTGGACAGGGCTTGGAGCAACCTGCTCTAGTGGAAGGTGTCCCTGCCTGTGGATGAGCTTAAGGTCCCTTCCAGCCCAAACCATTTTGTGATTCTATTACCATCCAGGAGCAGAATAGAAAGATACAGGCACACTACCACAGATACCTAAACTGCCAGGCTGAAAACAGACATCCTGTACTTAGTGAACAGTCCTCATTTTAATGAGGAACTGGGATGTGAACCCCTTCTGCACTGATTCAAAGCCAGGGCAATAACCCATCATAGCACCTACCTTTAAACTGCTGTGCCAGAATCTGGCAGGAAACAATCCAGACTAATGGCATAACTACTCTCAGCAGGCTCAAGAAATGCAAGTGTACCTCCTCCCCTCAACCTTTTCTTCCAACCAAATAATACAACACAGGATTAATTCCTGTGTAAACATCTGGAACTTCTTAAATACTTTATTACTGAGATGGTCTCTAGTTGGAAGTTAACTTTCAGAGCAGAGGCGACAAATGATGTTTTGGCTTCCAATGCACGTCTAACAAATCCTTTCTATGCTTTAAAATTAATGCATACTCTACGTGTTCTCATTTAAATGGCATTTGAGCTAATTCTGTCCTCCTTCCCCGGGGCTCATGAAGCAGCAAATGTTTTATACCATTGTCAGATACAAACTATAGTGAAAGCAACCATATATTACCATCCAGCAATCCTGCTGACAAGTGTAACTAGTTTCTCTTGAACCTCCCCTTGACTATGGGTGCCACAGTTTATTTGACAAAGTCAGACCTCGGAGAGCTTTGACAGATCACTTGCAATAAGGTTGTGAAGGAGCTTGGCAGTGGCCAGAGGCATGCAGGTATCAGAAACAGAAGGCACTGTCCTCTCAATTAGTCATCCCTGAAAACAACAGACATTGTAAAACTGATGCCTCCTTAAAGATGAAGCACTGCCTTGGAAAGGACAGCATATGTTCTACAAAGACATACCAGCAGCTGTCATTCACAAGAAGTATTTTCCACAGGCTTGCAGACTATGAAGTTAAATATAGTTATGTAGGAGAAAAAATAATACCTAAAATCTACTTAAAAACTGTATGTAAAGATCTTTTCCGTTTCATAAAGCCATTCCTCTCTGCAAGCTGCTGAATGACCATGCAAGAGCTTAGCCTTCTAGCAAGATATAAATTACTTAAGATTTCATTTAGCAAGGAAATAGAAGAATATAATCTCTGCTTTTTAATTAAGCAAAGCATTTGATAGGGTTGTTGTACAGTGCAGGACTCTAGTATGGAAAAAATTAAAGGCTACAAGTTTCCAGCAATTCACCCAAGCGTTGTGGTTGGTTTGGTTTTGCTTTTAAGACATTTCATCTTCCTTTTGTCCACTTACAGCATGAGGGAAAAGCAGAAGGTGCCAGCTCTTTAACAGCTCAGTCTTCAGCCATGTACAGCACCACAGGCTTACCTAGCAGAGGCGGCAGCCAGTTCACATTGGCCTCGCAATGGGAATCCAAGAAGGTGATGACATCCCCTATGGCCACAGAGGCCCCCAGCATCCGAGTCCTTATCAGCCCTTCTCTCTTTTTGGTTCGGAGGATTCTTACATTTGGGAACTGGGCCATGTAATCCTCCAGGCGTTTCTTCAGGTGTTCTGCATGGAAATGAGAAATTCAAACACTGTAACAATCAATTTCTTAAAAATGCTGTTCCCTCTTTACCAGAAAGAGATGTCTTTGGAAGTATGGCCTGAGCAGTTAACCGATGCAATAACAGGAAAAAGGAAGAAAGAATGATTTCCTTTAAATCCAGGCTTTAAACATAACTGCTTACCCAAGACTCCTGAAGATGTCCCAAAACCTTAGAAGCAGTAAACAACAAAAAGAAGAACTAGGAGAAGACTGAAGAGTGAAGGATGAGAAAGAAAGCAGCAGAGAAAGAGGAATAAGAAACCACACAGCAAAACTCTGGGAGAACTTTATCAGAGCACAGAGTCTATGACACTTCTGTGGAAAACCAAGGTAGCTTAGAAGAGACGCAGGACAATTTACTTTCAGAAGTAAACACTCAGCAGATTTAAGTTGCTTTGGGTTTCCTCAAATCATACAACATGACCATTTACTCATGCATAAGCAAACAGCAAAAAGCCTACTCAGCCGTCCCCCCAAGCCAGCACGGCAGGCATAGCCACTGCATGTGTCTGGATGGCTTCATTAAATGCTTATCAGAGGAGATATTTGCATTTAAATACGGAAATATTTACACTACTGAATATGGACTGGAGCCACATCTGAATTAGCACAGACATTTGTAGTCACCACAATTAACAAGAATTCAAACAGGGGAGCTGCAGAAGATTACTGAGCGATCAAAACAATAGACAGCTTGTTTAGAAGGGGAAAGAAAAAGCTTGGTCTACATAAAGAGTGAGGGGCACACAGCTGTCTTTACATCAAAGACTGAAGCACCAAAGAAAAACCTAAAAATAGGCTAAAAGCTGATACTGGCCTAATGGCTAATGGGTTGATCTGTAGGCATCTGAAGTTTTGACTGACTTGACAGCAAACCCCATTCACAGCGTGCCAGGGACTGTTCATTAATGCACCATCCTATCCACAGCCATCAGCAACCAATCAAGGAAATGAGCCTTGCTAGGCAAAAGCTACTTTGTCAAATCTAAGCAATTAACTAATCTTAAAATCTCACACAACAGAACTTGAATGGAGGCAATCATTCAAATACAAATAACCTCACAGGCTTATTTGCCTTGACTACAGGGAACACATCCACTCCATTCTGTATAGCAGAGTCTTCCTTGGCTTCCAAAGCAGCTATGAAAGGCAGGGGCTGAAAAGGCAGCCAGTGTGAGAACACCCTGAACAGGGCACCAGGGAAGCCAGGTATTGGAGTAAGTCTCTAAAAAGAGCAAAGGGGCAAATAAACTTCACTGAGTTCTAAATTCTCCCTGATGGCGCTGACCCAGCAATTGTGCTTCAGAGTTTTAGCTACCGGAGGAAAAAAATGGGCAGAATCCCTATGACTAACACACAGCCTGTACCTCCCCTTTGAAGCAGCCATCACCTACCTTCCTTCAAAGATCACCCAAATCAACTTTGCTTTTGAGGTATTCCTAGCAAGCTCTTTGCCCTTTTCAAAGCTTTATTTAACATCCCCCAGGATTTTTTTGCTCACAAATGCATTTCAGTGTTTTGCCTGACAAGTCTAATTGTCCCACAGTATCTATGTAGGCTTCCCTGCTCAATAGAGCCCTTAGTGCTTCTCGCTGTCTAGCACGCTTTTCCATCATCCTTTTCAAGTCTCTTTTGAATAGATCCTCTCAAGCAACTAGAAATTTTGTCCACTCAATTATAGGTTTTTTAAATAAGGGCCTTCCATAGAAACTAGATATGTTATTACTGCAGCTGCCTTCATCCTGAAACAGCGGGTAGACTCAACAAGAACAAACAGAAAAGCCACCACCATTGTTAAACATCACAGCTCATCCCTCAGCATTGTTAGTTTATCACAAAGGGTTAGTTCAACAGAAAAGAGAACAAAAACAACCCTCACTTCAAGCACAAATCAGCTAAGCCCAAGACAGAAGGTACACCTTAGTGAATCTACCCAAGAGAAACATGAGAGTGGCTGCTAGTGCTCATAGGTAGGTATAGGAAGGAGGTAACCATCACGCAGACGCTGGGTCTGATTCCCCTAACAATAGCCACTTGTATTATATATGTATATATATACATATATATACACACATATGTATATAGCTATTGTAGCATATACACACATAGCCACTTGTATTATATATGTATGTATATATACACATATACACACACATATGTATATAGCTATTGTAGCACTTGCAAGATCAGACCCCACAATATTTAAATTATCTAAACCAGACCTACAAAATCTTAAAAAAGAGTCTTAGCAAGTCCTGTAATATCCAAAGCTCCAAAGGAACGGAAAATCTGTGTGTATTTTCTGCAACTCTTATTTTGCTAGAAACAAGAAAATGAGACTGTGAAAGATTCCAGAAGTCTGTCTTCTACCTGTACAGTGGTTGTTTTAGGTTTTGGCATCATGCACCTTTCTAAACTATCCTGGTTTGGTGTGCTTTTTCACGTGGGGTGACACCTGAAGGCAGCCTAACCAATTCCTCCAAGGGTATGAGCATAGCCCACCTGAGCCTGCTGCCAGGAAACACAAGCACAGCTTCGGTTCTGGTCTCACACAGGAAGGCACACCAGCAAGTGGACAAAAGTCACTGGACTTGGCCGTATTTGTAGTGATGATGATGGCTGCTCTGCTACACACCAACTGAAGACACGCTGATTTGTATCTATTAATGAACAAGCAGTTAAGAACTGAGAGAATTCCCCATCTTCATAGCATGATAAGAGAAAAGAAGGCATAGGAACCATAGAGTTCTCAGGTGAGTACTCTGCAAAGAGGCACCAAGAAGTCTAACCCACTGACTTCCCATTCCATTCCCAAATGCTCGTTTTGCTTCTTTAGCACTTATTTACTATGTTTCCATAGTAAAAAAAAAATACCAAAGCATTTCACACTTGCAGCACACAGCCTGCTCTGTGTTGCACTGTTAAGAAATATCTCACACACTAAGAATCTTCTTATGCCTCCGATGGCTGGAAGAAGCGAGGAAAAGCTTAAGTACTTACTCCATCAGCATCCATGTGTGATGCAGGGGACACATGTACCAAGTCCTTGAAGCCAAAAGCGATGATGCTCAGATGAGCTGCTCCCAATCACTGCAGAAAAATCCATGCTTGATCGTTGCATTTTATAAGGTTAAGACTGATGTACCATGAACCGCAAGTGAGCGGAATTTATTGTATCTACTTCCCCTTACTAAAGAGTCACAGACTGTGAAGCAACCTCACCAACACATAAAACACAATAAAACATACTTTTCAAAGACAAGGCTTTCTTATCTCCTTATCCCTGTGCTATTCCTGCATCCAACCTGGCCTCCAAACACTTAGAAAACAGTTACTTCATTCTATTACAAATACTGTCACAATTAAGTCAATTTCTGCTTTTAAAAGAATATCTCAGGAAAACAAACAAATGGCATTAACTGCTACAAAATTTTATGAGGCTTTAAAAAATATATTATGGAATCTTGTCACACTGAGTAATTTTTATTACAAGGGCAATTTTCTCTAACGAAAGTTGTTAGGTGAACTGGATGGATTCCAATGGCTGTGCCTACCCTGGGCAAAGTAAGAGAGCCCAAGCATATAAATGAGAGTAAGATTATCTGCAGATTAAAAGCTAGGCTGGTAGCTTGCTAACAGACTTCGCAATAAACTTGATATACAGCATCTATATTAACAGTACCAGTCAAGAACTACTGCTTTATTTTGAGCTGTAAATAAAACTGTGTGAAGATAGCAGAGAAGCTTCAACAGCCTAACATAAGTGGTCCCAAAGCTGTCAAAATAAGACTTTTTCCCCCCTATATGAAATTCCTATGGTGGTTTTACTGTATTTCATCCTTCTGGCGGCATCATCCATGGCCACCTGCCAGCAGATTGGATGCAACCAACGAAATCAGTTTCCTCTGCCCTGCAGTATCCTGCCTTCTCCTGACATGCTTTGCTTCAGTGTACACACTCAAAAGGCTGAGGATATGAAGACAGGAGAGCCATTGCACTCTGGAAATACAGGGAACCTTCCCCCTCCTGCTGAAGGGCACATGGCACAGGCAGAAAGACAGGAGCACCTGCAGAATTCCCTTTCAAGCAGACAGGGATGGTTTCCCTTCCCTGCAGGTTATTTTACTGTTTTCCATCCACCAAAACCTGAAGTGCAATTGTTCACCTGTTCACAGGTTATCCCAGCTCCCCATCCTTACCCTCCCACATGCAGACATGCTTGTTTAAGATTACAAATGAATCCATTCATCTTTACTTAGATACTCAGCCCTAATGTGCTGTTTAACAATTTAAGAATGAATTAGACTTCTTCCCGAATCCATCACAATGTGCAAGCCAAGCCTCCCTGAAATAGAAAGCTCTGCATCACTGAAATTAACTTCTCTCCCTGTTTTGGTGCAGATGAGCAATCCTTTAAATAGCAGAATGTGCTGTTATCCAAACAGGCAGCACTTACACCAGTTTTAAATTTCTTCCAATGCTTTCATGAGCTGATCACTGAAGTTGGTTGGGGGATAATAAACTGATTTAATAAATCCTACTATGAACACCAGTCCCAATAATAGCAAACTGATTAAGCAAGTGACAGCTTTCCAAGCTGAATCTTCTTGCAAAGAAAGAAGAAAAGAAGTTGGAAATGAGAGAATTAATATCTGTTGCTTCACTGATTACAGCTCTGTAGTAAGCTCTTAAAGGGAAGGAGGTCCATGTTCTCACTGCCCATTCTGTATCAGTCTTGGGGCCCAGCACAGCCTCACAAACAAAAACTGGGTGGAGGAAAAAGGGTTTCTGTGCATGGGACAATAGCTGAAAGAGTACAACCCATACAGCAGTCTTTAGATTGTAACAAAGACCAAGAGTTGGGTTCCTCGAAATCTTCCTTTGTTCTCTTTCTGAATGTTTTAAAGACAAGCTTCCACTTTAGGAACAATGAATGCACAAAAGTGGAAGCATGGGGCATAAG